GGGGAGGGGGAAGGAGGGAGTTGATGGGGGAAGTTTTTAATGATAACAACAAACAACAGTTGCAAAGGCGGGAGACTGCTATTCGCCTTAATCTGTAGACCTTTTATTTAGCTTATCATGCTGCTTTGTTACCGTTGAAGTAGTCTTCAGCAACAGCTGTGGTTATTTCATTATTTTTTTACTAGCCAACATCTTTTTTTCCTTTTCAAGAAGTTGATATACTTTTATTTCAGTGTCATCATCTTTTCGTAATTTTATGCAGTGGAACCTCGATTTAACGAAGGGCCAAGGGACTGGGGAAATTGGTTCGTTATATCGAGGTTCTGTGACATACATTTTACTGTAATTTTAACCGGGCTGAAACTGAAATATCGTTCGTTATACCGAGGACTTCGTTGTATAGAGGCTCGTTAAATCAAGGTTCCACTGTGTTATGTTACTTCTTTTTTTAATCTTTGTGTTTCAGGCAGCCACTCGTGTGATCCTGTTATCTGGAACCCCAGCTCTCTCGAGGCCGTTAGAGCTGTACACCCAGATCTGTGCCGTCCAGCCATTGTTATTTCCCATGTTTCATCTGTTTGGAATCCGCTACTGTGCCGGCCAACAGGTGGGTTAAAGTCCTTTGAAGCCTAAGGGCAGAAGATTACTTGGAACCTTTCCTAAAAGTCGCTACAACTTTACTTGTAATGTTATTTGTCTGAAACCATTCTTTAAAATTTAATCTAAGGAATAGTGGAGAGAATTGTGGCTGAAAGGTAGTCCATTTGGTTCGTTTTCCTGAAACAAAGTATTGATATCTTGATTTAGAATGGAAAGAAGGCCAAAAAAAGATCCTTAGGTTTGGTAACTCCTGAGACGTTTGAAAATAACCCCTGAGTCGAATTGTATGAAACTTGATTAACAATAATGTTGGATTGCGTACAAAGAAAACTACTAATTTTCATGGTAGTTTGATTTAGATTGGTATTAATTAGAGAAATGTTCGATGAGTGTCGAAATAATCCCCGAGTGCATTGGTTTTGCTTCGTTCCAGTCTTTGCTTGGTTCAGAAAACTCTCACCACCCAACCAATCACCAATCGCAATTGGAATTGGCGCGTTTTTCAAGGCTTGAGTTCTTACTGGTATCTCGTGACATTTGCCTTAATTTTAACTGGCCTTTATGATTAGTTTGGCTTTGGTTCGACCATGTATTGCTGCTGCACTTGTGTAGGTAGAATCATACAAGGTACATCTCTCTTCAAAAGAATCCAACTTGTTACGGAGTCAAATTACACATGGATTGCGTGTAATTTAAAGTGCGTTTTAAAGTTCAAACAAAATTTTACGCGCGCGTAATTTGCGCATAACTCCGTCATCTGACACGCATTTTACGCGCGCGTAGGCGCTGCCATTCCTCTGGCCGTTACTGTACGTCTCCTTTGTATTACTGCTATTGCTCTCAGTGTTAGTTTATTGTTATAACCATTATGACAATTATTATTTCATTTCGATTTTTGTGCTTATGACCTTTGTTATTACATGAATTGTTTCTTTTTGTAGAATCGGTTTGGTTGGGATTTTTCAGGCGCATCCAACATGCAGGAGCTTCAACTACTGTTGGAGGAAAAGATGATGATCAGGTAGAATAGAGTCTGTTTGAGCCTGAGAACGGCTATATATATATATATATATATATATATATATATATATATATATATAATTATAACGAACTGGCCCAAAACTTCAGAAGTAACTCATCGTTTTATTACGACAGCTCTGTTTCGTATGGTC